TTGTATGAGTTGGATGGATGAATAGACAAATGGATATGGATAAAGATATAGACTTTATATATGTGTGCGCATCCTTCTAAGCAAAGGTATATAATGAAGTAATTATGCTTAAGATGTTATGATGTCTAGGATATGCTTTAAAATTTTTGAGAAAAGTCTTTGAAGAATAAAGAAATAACTGGCACTGGTAATTAAATAAATAACAGTTATTTAAACTGGAGTGGCATATACAATGGTGTTTATAACATCAGTCTCTCTTGTCTTTGAAATCTCTCATAATAAAAGTTTAAATAGTTTGTTGAATGAAAGAACAGATTGATGAATGTGCCACAGGCTGCACAGGTACCCACCTTGAATATAAAGGTTTAGGAGGGAGGGAATGTAATCAGTCTGTAAAGTTACACTATTCAGTTAAAAAGTAAAGGAAAGAAGGTGTCTACAGCAAGGATAAAGGTATTGTGCAGAATGAAAGAATGAACGAATACTGTGTTTCCACGTCTGGGTCAGTTTCCTCTTCCACAAAATGGGAGTCTGGGACCAGATGGAGTCTCTGGTCCCTTCCAGCTGTTGTCATGCTCCCCCAACACTAAACTGGAAGAGAACATGAAACATGAACAGAAACTTGAAGAAAGCGTCTTCATGCATTGTCCTTCAGATCAACGAAGAAACCTTTAAAGTGCCCCAAAAGGCCAAGAAGGCTTTGTGAGGTTGTGCGGGTGGGCGTTTATCTTCACCCATGGGCTGCGTCAGGGCTTAGTTGCAGCTTGCGGGATCTGAGCTTCTTGTGTGGGCCTCTGTGCACACACTCTCTCTGGCTGTGGACCCGGGCTCTGGATTGTGGGTCTCTGTGCTGTGCATGGACTCTCTCTGGCTGTGGACACAGGCCCTGGATTGTGGGTGTCTGTGCTGTGCACACACTCTCTCTGGCTGTGGACACAGGCTCAGTATTGTGGATCTCTGTACTCTGCACGCACTCTCTCTAGCTGTGGACACGGGCTCAGTAGGGTAGCTCACAGGCCCCAGAGCTCTCCGGCTTCAGTGGTTGCAGCGGGCAGACTCAGTTGCCCAACAGCATCTAGCTCCCCGACCAGAGAGCAAACCCAAAACCTCTGCCTTACAAGGCAGATTCTTAACCACTGGACCACCAGGGTGGTCCCCAAAAGCTAAGCGGTTTACCCTGGATGTAGATGGATGCCCAGAGGACCCGACATGACATAGAAACATTCAGGGCAATCTGAGCTGTATGATTAAATCTACAAGTTAAAGATTAGGCAGGGGTGACAGTGCCTGCCAGGGGTCCTGATGCGATATTTGGAGATCCAGGTCTGTCCGGGGCAGGCCGCTGCGGGCAGCTCAGGTGGGAGCCCCGGGCAGAGGCTTCCTAGAAGAGGCGATGCTCCCGGCTGTTTGCTCAGCTCACGGTGGACTCGAGGTGTTTGCCAAAGGGCTGAGTGAGAACAGCACTCTTCGCTCCGCGGGAATCTATTGATGGGGCTGGGTTTGCCCTGCTCAGAAAAGATTAAGAGGATGCAGGGAAAACCCTCCAAATATTTGAAGAGTTTTCAAGCAGAAGAAATTGTTTCCTCGGAGGCATGTGTTTGTCCTCCAGGGGCTGAGCTGAAATCCGTGTCAAGAAGAGAAAGATCACAGCTCAGCGGACAGATGACATTTTTTTGTGCTTACATGTGTGTTGTTGTAGGTTGTTCCTGACGATTCCACGCATGTGATGGTAATAGGAGCTGCTTCTGTGTTAGACACAGTCCTCCCAAGGCCCAAGCAGAGGCAGAAAAACCTGGACAGAGAATTTGTGAGGGGAGATTCCAGGACCGGCTAGAATCTCTCAGTTGAGATTCTGAGGTTCTCCCTAGAAAACTAGGGACCATCAGGTGTAGCGGCGTGAGAGACAGAGACAGACAGAGAGACAGATGTGGAGACAGAGAGAAGGGGAAGATCAGGGAGCGGGAACTGGTCCACACTCTCAGCCCCGGGCATGTTAACACAGTCCCTTCCCTGCCTCACCAAGAGGAGCGCAGGAGGTGTACAGAACAACACCCAGGAAAACATCGATCAATACGGAAGAGAAGAGGACATTTGTTTCTTTACACACTTAAGGAAGAGTCCAAGCAACACCCCCCGGAGGGCCTCCTATTTTTCTGCCTGGAAGTGACGTACCGCAGACGTACCCTTTCCCCATCTCTGGGTGGCAAACGCTGGGTGCGCTGGCTCACTTCCCGTCTGCTTCTATGAATAATTGATTGAAGGTGGCATGTTGGCCTCAGCTCTGGAATCTCTCACATGAAGGACTGTAAGTAAACGGAGTCACGTCGACGCATCATTACTGGCAGCTCCCGTCTCGTCGTCTCCCAACAAGCACAGAACTGCGTGCCTCAATCTTGCCCACTTTCTTTGTCCTTCCATTTTTCAAGATCTCTTGATGAATTCCCAGCAGTGACGCCCGGCAGCCTTTCGGAGAAGCGCACAGCAGCCTCTGCCCTCCCGTCCTCTTCCAGGACCCCCCGCCCTCCCCGGGATCAGCGTGCTCTGCCAACTGCAGACCGTGCCTCTGGGGGGACCCGGGAGGGGGCCTCTTCATGGCACGCCTGCTGCCGGGCCTGGCCTTGGGGGACGGGCACCGTCCTGGAGGCTGGTAATGTCAGAGGCGTCTCAGAGGTTAGGGCCCCCCGCATTTTAAGGACACATGGGCACCAGCTTCCAGGGCTGCCACCCCCAACTGCTGAGAGGACCCCTCAGTGGGTCCTGACATCACCTTTTCCTCGTCCTGGGCTCACTGGCCCAGGGGCTCCCCGCGGGGTCAGGAGCTGGGGGACCGGGAGCTGTCGGCTTAGTGCCCGCAGAACAGAGCGAGTCCTGAGATAAGAGGAGTCGTTTGGCAGGAGCCGCCTGTGCTGGGCGGGGGCCCAAAAGGAGGGTGCGTCCCGGGCCCAGGAGGTCACCCATCCACCCCGCCCCACCCCGGAGCCTCGACCTCAGTGGTGATCTGAGGCTGCACCTCACTTCTGGAGAGGAAGAAGGACTTTAAACACCTGTTGGGAAGTCTGCCCTTGTGTCTGCCATTGACCAGCCCTAACCCTAACTATTATGGGCTGGTTGTGGCCGGAAGCGGTGGAGCCAGGCAGACCTGCTCTGAGCCAGGCTGGGCCGGGTGGGTAAGTCAGGAAAGCTGCCCAGGTGTCCATCGCCGCTCCCATGATGGGACACATAGTGTCTAGCCATTAGAATAAGGAACCACGCGCAAGGGTTTCATTTATTATGAAACCTGTCACAAGCTCAAAACAGCCCATAAATGACCACGGACAGCGTTGACAGTATTCCCGTTATCTGTATCTGCCTCAAAAGCTACCTTCCAGGCTTTGGGCTTCCCTGGCAGTCCAACAGTGAGGTCCACTCTCATTAGGGGGTTCAGTCCCTGGTTGGGGAGCTAAGACCCTGAGACTCGCCCCCACATGTCAGCCAGCCCGGGGGACCCACCAACACTGCGCTGCTGCAGGGGGTGACCCTGCTCCCATCCCTCCTGGGCCCCCTCCCGGCCAAAGCTCTCATTGAAAGCGTAGGGACACCCACTGCCTGGGAGGGAGTTCCGTGAGCCACACCCCTCCCCTGGGACAGGCCTTGGGCTCTAAGCCTGGAGTTCCAGCTTCCAACTGGGTCTGGGGGTCTCAGTCTGTAGGTCAGTAGATAAGCTACTGACGACCTTGGCAGTCAGCACCCATCCTAAGAGAAAGAGCTGAACCCTCAGGCACAGAGCACATGAAGTGGCTGGGTCAGCTCAGAAAGCAAGCCAGGCTGCCGAGTCCCCCACATCACAAGGCTCCCAGCAGCTTCCCCCACTGTCCTGGGCATCTGCGCCCACCCACCTGGTGACCCGAGACTCACCTCCTGGCTCCATGGACCCTCCCCAGCTCTTCTGACCCTGGAACATAGTTATCTCTCTCTCTCTCTCTGTCTGCCCTGGTTCCCTAAATGAGTGATTTAGGAAACAGGCTGTGTGGGTTTGGGTGGGAATAATCAATCATGCTCTTTGACCTTCTGCCATTGAGTCCAGCTCCCGCAGGATAAGCAGTCTGCAGGCGCTGGGGGCAAAGGAAAGGACCAGCGCACGGGTGGGACCAGGACCACCTGGACCTCCCCTTCCCGCTCGTCCTGCGTTTCCTCACCCAGACGTTAACTTTTTAAAATGTTTTATCGGAGTACCGTTGATTTGCAGTGTTGCGCTAGTTTCAAGCATACAGCAGAGCACATTCTTTTTCACACTCTTTTCCCGCACAGGTTATCACAGGACATTGAGCAGAGTCCCTTGCACTGTACAGCAGGTCCTTGTTAGCTATCTGTTTTGTATATAGCAGTGCGTACCTCTGTCCCAATCTCCTAATTCATCGCTCTGCCCCACAGTTCCCCTTTGGTAACCAGAGGTTCACTTTTGAGATCTGCGAGATTGTTTCTGTTTTATAAAAATGTTCATTTGTTTCATTTTTATTACATTTCACTTATAAGTGGTGATGTGATATGTATCTTTCTCTGTATGACTTTCTTCACTTAGTATGATAATCTCTAGGTCAATTCATGCTGCTGCAAATGACATCATTTCATTCTTTTTTAAGGCTGAGTAATATTCCATTTATGTATATGTATATAAATATATATCACATCTTCTTTATCATTTTCTCTGTCAATGGATGGGAAAAGAAGAAGTAAACCTGTCACTGTTTGCAGATTACATGGTGCTTTATATAGAATAGCCTAAGAATGCCACAAGAAAACTACTAGAACTCACCCATAAATTTGGTAAACTTGCGAGACACAAAGTTAACACAGAGAAATCTGCTTTTCTACACCCTGACAACAAAAGACCTGAAAGAAAAATTAAGGAACCAACCCTCACCCAGTGTCAGGCTGAGCACTCGCAATCTGGAAGCATGGGTGGCAGGTGCCTCTCCCGAGAGCAGGAGGCACCAAGGAGGGCCCTGTTCTTGGAAGGCAGGATGGAGGTCAGCACCAAGGTCAGCGCCAAGGTCAGCACACCAAGGTCTACGCCTGTCCAGCCAACTCGGGCGGGGAGCGCGCATGAAGCCACCTGCCTCCTCTGACGCCAGGAAATCAGGGCTGGCAGATTAATCCCAGGCACATGCACAGCCTTCTCCCAGCCCCACACTCACCAGATCCGGCCTCCTGCCTCCCCCTAGGATCATCTGGCCTGCCTGTGTCCACAAGGAGGGGAGCTTGTGGCAGTTTGCAGGAGGAAACTTAATTCCTGAGACAGAGGAAAGTTTGTCAAGACTTTCTGGGAGTCTTTTTCATTACATTCCTTCTGAAGCTTTTATTAATTTAGTGGGGCTTCTTAATTAAAGTCTCAATGAATAATTGAAACGTAGCTTTTGATTATGCTGGAGTCGGTGCCATTTTGAGTTGTAATTGTAACTAATAAATTAGTTAAATAGGTAAGATGATGAAACCCTGTCTCAAGGGGGACACTCATAAGTTTGAGAATTTATCTACATGTCATTCAGAAAATTTATGCAGGAAAAAATAGATGATCAGGAGGAAAACCAGAACCACAGCTTATTAATCAGCCAGGTCTGCTCTGTAAGGGCTGCAGTTCTAGAATAACTCAGCACCTTCTCAATATAGAGGAAGCAGGGGTGTCACCACATCTCCCAGGAATCCCCTTCTATTTCCTCCGTCCCCACAGGGCGCTGTGATGGAGCACCCTGCTTGGCCAGTAGCTGGGGAACGGACCGCTGCCCAGGGAGAGCCCTTCTTCTCCAGATTCGCCGGTGCCAGCACACACCACTCAGCTGCAGGACTGCAAAGAGTGTTCTGGGCCGTCAGCCAACCAGCAGTCAAGGGAGATGCGGTCTGTGCTGCGAGACATGTGGGACGTCCCTACAGCCAAGAGGGGCTTCGCCCATGACGACTCCAGCAGGGTCTTCCCGGATTCCCGTCGTTTTCACAGCCGGCTGCTTCTCGGCGTGCATGTTGGCCAGAGCGCACCTTCTTCACGTGCCTTCGGGGTGAGCCAGGACTCACAGCAGACTCACCGCACATGCACCAGGACTCACTGGTGCCCAGCGCACGGGAGATGTTTGCATCCCGTGGGCACTCAGGGAATGTTTGCTCACTGGCAAATCTCTCTGGTTTCTTAGCTGCACAAGGAGATCATTAACTAAAAAGATGTCTTTTCTTTGCTTCACCAGTATTTATGCTAGCATGCATGCATGCTCAGTCATATCTGATTCTTTGCGACCCCATCGACTGCAGCCCACCAGGCTCCTCTGTCCATGGAAATTTCCAGGCAAGAATACTGGAGGGGTCTGCCATTTCCTACTCCAGAGGATCTTCCTGGCCCAGGGATTGAACCAGCATCTCTTGTGCCTCCTGCATCAGCAGGCAGATTCTTTACTGCTGGCACCACCTGTAAGCCACAGTATTTATACCAATTCCTACGTTTGTCTCGTTACATCTGGAGCCACCAACACTCGCTGCGTGATAGCGATAGGGGCTCACATCTCACAGGAAACGCCCTGGCATCTCTCTGGGGGGTAGCTGGCCGCCCCCTCCCTGTGTCCTCACCCAACCCCTCCTCGAGACAGAGTACCCGGTGCCCCTTCCTCTCGGCATAAGGAGGACAGGCCTGAGGAGTCAGGCCCACCCTTGGACTTCACTTAGTTCAACTGCTTCTCGAAAGGCCCTGCTCCCAGTCACAGATGGGTTTAGAGCTTTAACATGGGACTTTGGCGGGGGAGGACACACTCCCATTCACAACACCAGCGAGCCAGGGAAAACGGCCTCACGAGAAACGAACCCTGCTGGCCCCGAGCTTGGCCTCCACTCTCCAGAGCTCAGCGGAACGCACGGCTGCTCATCACTTATCACCTGTGGACTGACTGGGGCTGCCGGCTGCCGGGATCTCGGACTGGAGCTCTCACAGCCGGGACGGACGCCCTCCAGCCTCCTCAGATGGCCGGCTGGGGCTGCCTCCTGCTGCACTGGGTCTGGGGCCATGTTCCTGCCAGGCCAGTGCCCAGCTCCTGGAGGTCGTCCACATCCTCTCCACGTGGCCCTGGCAACCCCAGCGCGGCTGCTGATGCTGCCTCGAGACCAGCACCGTGTTTCCCTGGTCTCCTCCTCGGCCTCCAGCCTGAAAAAACCCTCGGGTCTACGTGGCCCCCCAATTAGGTTGGGGCCCCCTGGGGTCGTTTCCCCTTTGCCTCAAAACATAGCATCGTCACAGGTTATAGGCACAGGCTCTCCCAGCATCCGAGGGGTGGGGTTCACACACAGTGGGGCTCTCCTAGAACTCTCTTGCTACAGCTCTTATTAAGAACAGATTATAGGAGCATCCCTGGTGGGCCCGTGGTTAAGAATCTGCCTGCCAAAGCAGGAGATGCGGGTTCAGTCCCGGGGAAGACATCAAATGCTGAAGAGCAACTAAGCCCAGGCACCACACTACCGAGCCTGTGCTCTAGAGCCTGGGAGCCAGGACAGCTGAAGCCACAACTGCTGATGCTGATGCCACGACTGCCGGAGCCACAACCGCCGGAGCCACGACCACTGAAGCCACAAAAGCTGATGCCACGACAGCTGAAGCCACAACTGCTGATGCTGATGCCACGACTGCCAGAGCCACAACTGCCGGAGCCACAGCCACTGGAGCCACGACCGCCGGAGCCCACGCACCCGAGCCCACGCCTGGAGGACAAAATAAAGTGAGGAAACACACTTTTAAAAAAGAATGAATTTATAAACTTCATAAAATGTATTGTTTCTTTTGGAATGTGTTGGTATATTGTATTATGTTAGCAGTTTTCCAACCCTTTTTGCATGCCAAATTAAACAATTCACAACCTGCCACATCCCTGCTTTTTAAACACTGAAGGTTTTCTAGGTGGATGATGGTAATCTATTTTCTATACATTCAACCAAAATGATTTATTCAATAAATGATTTATTCTATATATTCAACAAAACATGATTTTCTATTTGAGAAACATGAATTATATTAGACCATTTATATTCATGACCTCTATATTCTTTACTATTTACTTACTACTAGAGTTGTTTAATTCTAAAACAGGTCCATTCAAACATCCCTACAGGCTTCTTTTCCTGTGTTTGTGCCTTTCCTAGTAGATTTTTCTATATATATTTAGTTGTTAGACTGTTTCTTAGCAGTTTACACCAGTTCAATTCAATTTCTTATAAATTAGGTCATTTATTATTACACAGTGACTTACTTTTCTCTTGTATGAAGTTAAAATTGTCATTCATTTATAGTCAACCTTTCTACACCACTTAATCTTAAGCATTTCTTATAAACTGTAAAGCTAAGTTTTGTTTTCTAAATTAGTCTGTCACAACATTGTAAATCAATGGTACTCTAATAAAAATTAATTTCAAAAATAATAAATAAATAAGTCTGTCGTTGTCACTTAACAGAGAATTTATTCTAAGTCCCATTTGTTAAGTTAGTGTTAATCGCTCAGTCGTGTCCAACTCTTTGCAACCCCAGGGACTGTATGTAGCCTTCCAGGCTCCTCCGTCCGTGGGACTCTCCAGGAAAGAATGCTGGAGTGGGTGGCCATTCCCTTCTCCAGGGGATCTTCCTGACCCAGGGATTGAACCAGATCTCCCTCATTGGCAGGCAGATTCTTTACCATCTGAGCCAGCAGGAAAGCCCCAAGTCCTATTTAGAACTCATGAATATTACTGATTTTTATTTCTTCATTTTTACTGATTTACTTTCCACTTGATTTTACTTCTTTCTTGTTCCTATCTTATCTACCTTCCACTCTAGTGGGAGGAGCAGGACATCTGTAAAGTGGGGTTGCACCCGCCCTGCAGGGCCCCCAAATTCTGGGGCCCCCTCTCCCCTACCCTCCCCCACCACCCTGGTCTCTCTTCAGCGCTCTCCAGGCCAGGGACCCCTGACTCCCCTGCCAGAGGCCGGCCGAAGCCCTGCTCCTCACCTCAGGACACGGCTCTCCCCTCAGAACACCGCGGACTTTCCCCCTCCCGTCCTTCCACTGGGCTCTTCTCCCCACGTGTCCACCCAGCCGCCCCGTCCACAGGGCACCTAGACCCTGCCTCTGTCTCCCTCACAGCTGAGGGCCTGGGCACACGGGGCCAGGCACACCTGCGTGCCACGCACACCTGTGTACTCAGCACACCTGCGTGCCGGGCGGCAGCCAGCAGGCAGGCGTCCCGCGCTTGGGGTCACTGGGGGGATGAGGCCCCACAGCAGGGGCCGCCTCCCAGCGCCGAGGTCCCTTCCTCAGCCTCACCCCACCTGCCGAGGCCGGGAGGTGTCGCTCGGGGCTTTAAAGGACTCGAGCGTGGACAGGTCTGGGGCCAGGTCCCTGGTCAGCGCTGGCCCTGGAAAGGTGCCCCCTCGGGGGCTGGAGCACCCTGGACGGGAGGAGAGAGGAGCTGGCGGGGCTCAGGCCTACCTGCCGGGGTCCCCTCCGCTGCTGAGAGCCGGCTGCCTCCGGCCACACACTCCCTCCAGGATGCTGAGCCAGTCCCAGGCAGCAGGGCGGGGAGATGTGCCCCCAGGGCGAGGATGGGAAGGAGGGCGCCCCGTGATGCAAGACCCTGAAGCCCACCCTCCACCCTCAGCTCCTCTTTCTTTGGCAAAATCACACGACAGCTCCATCCGGGTCTCCCCCTGGTTCCCACCCGAACCTGCACACCTGAGCCAGGCTGGAGGAGAGGGGACGCCCACCCAAGCGACTGGACTCTTTGTGAAAAGAGAGAGGAAAAAACCTTGCTCGGAACAACACTTCCCTGCCTGCCAGGTCCACTCAACACATCACAGAGGCACTCCCGGAGCCCCCGAGCTGGGCTGACCCCAGACCCCAGTTTACTGGGTCCATGTTGGGAGCAAACAGGGACAGGCTGAGGCCTCCCCACCGCGACCCAGACTCCTGGCCGAGGAAGGCGAGCGCAGAGGCCGCCCACGGTCCACGGGGTGACGGCAGTCCTGAGCTATTTCAGATGCAGAAGCGCGTGATTGGACGTGTTATTACTAACAACGGTCGTGACTGTCAATTACTTAACAGAGGGAATCGGAGTACAAATTGCCGGGTGCGCTCAATTACTGCTAAAATGGAATAAAAGCGTTTTAATTGTGATCAGAACGCGTGCTCTGCAGCATGGACATTAAAGGGAACAATGACCCGCCGCAAACAGCGTCCCCGTTTATCTCCCGATCTGCTTACCAAACAGAAGCGGTGCAGCCGGAACGGACTCGACAGGCAGAACCTTGCTAATGAGCTCCGCCGAAACGGGGGAAGTCTAAATTGGATTCCACTCCAGGGCTCAGCTGAAATTTATCTTAGCTGGGAGCTGGCTCTCTCACTGAAAAACCAGTGTCGAGTAAAAGAATGAACCTGCTACAAGATTATTTTCTTTAAAAAACTGAAATTAAAAGCCCATCGCCGGGTTTACGCACCTTCTCCACTTTGGCAGAGATGGTCTGAGATCATCTCAGGCGAAGAGCCCCATGTTCGTCCTGTTCAGCCAGGCCCCCGTCCCCCCACCACCCTCTCCGTGGCAGGACCCCCTGTCTCGGGGCCCAGGTCCTGTTCTGTTAGTAGACGGCGCGTATGCCCATGTCCCCGGGAAGCCTGGCTGCCCGTCTCATCCAGGTGAGCAGGGCTGGGCCTCTGCTATGCTGTTGGGGGCAGAGCGCCCTGACCGGCTCTCTCGGGGACCCCTCCCTGAGCGGGAGGGGCTGGAACCCTGCCCCTGCCTCCAGGGGTCTCCTGGCCACCGGGGTTCTGGTTTGGGTTTCTCCAGCTTCACTGAGGTCCGTGATGTACAAAAACACGCAGGCCCGGGTGTGAGCCTTCTGATGGGCTGGGCAGCGCGTCCTCCTGTGACACCATCCCACCATCACGGGACGGGATGGGGGAGTCTAAGCACCCACGTCTTCTGCTCCTTGAGCAGGGGGCAGCAGGAGGCCTGCTGCATGCATGCTGAAGCTGGCCGGAAGCCCAGCGGGCCAACGCAC